CATAATGATTTTCTTTCATTGTTGGCAATTTTCAAAAACAAACTTTTCTTTTTCCAAGGGAGATATAAAGTGCGTTGACTAGTATAAAATAAGAACGATCTGGAGAACTGAAGAAAATGTAGGATATAAATTCGCAATCTTCTGCTCTTTTAAAAGTCTTACTCTGAAGTAAATCACTTAAGTCATTTATTTTTATTTTTTAAAAATTCATTGTTCTCTGATGACTGGTTAAAGAAACTTTGGTACATTTACACAATGGAGTACTATGTAGCTGTTAGAAAAGATAAAGTCATGAAATTTACATACAAGTGGCACTACATGGAAAGTATCATGTTAAGCAAAATGAGTCAGAAAGAGAGGGATAGACATAGAAAGACTGCATTCATCTGGGCGACACAAAGTAACAAAATGGGAGACTAACACCCAGGAGTGGCCGAGATTAGTACCAGGAATTTTGCTCCATGGCTTGGCAGCCAGCCGCACATGCTGGAGAAAAAGGGAGCTCAGATAGAGAAGGGAGCACCAATAAAGGGTGTTGGGAGGATCCTCCCAGGATGGGAGAAGCATGCTGAAAGTAGACTATAGACCAAACATGATTGCCACTCAATGCCTCTTTTGCAAACCACAACACCCAAAAGGAGAGAGAGAGAGAGAAAAAGGGAATGCCCTGCCACAGAGGCAGGGTGGGACGGGGGGATGGGGAGTGGGAGGGGTACTGGGACCCTTGGTGGTGGAAAATGGGCACTGGTGGAGGGATGGGTACTCGATCACTATATAACTGAAACCCAAGCACAAAAATTTATAAGTCTACAACTGTACCTCATGGTGTTTCACTAATAAAATTTTTAAAAACATTATTGTTCTCAGTAAGATTTCAAAATAAGGGACGTAGAGCCTGGGGACTGGAGAGGTAATACAGTGGGTAGCTTGCCTTGCTTTCAGTTCACCTGCCTCAACACCCCAAATGGCCCCCGGGACACCACCAGGAGAGATCCCTGGGTGCAGACCCAGGAGCATAGCTGGGTATACAACCCTCCCTCTTCCAAAAATAAAGTTGAGCCTGAGCTAAGTCATTATTAATCTTATGATTTAAAATGTTAAGGACTTGTAGAATTAGGACTTTGAAAGTGAGGCACACTTCAATTTTGAAAAACAAACATTCATTGTATGACTCAACACTATTTAAGTTCTTTTTAGATATAGGAAGAAAACTAAAGGTACCTGGAAAATTCTAGACATTTTTAAGTAAGATATTTATTTAAATAATGTACCTATGTGGGAACTAAACATTGAGTTTTAAGAATAATACAGGGCTGCAGAGATAACGGCCTTGCTTTCCCCATAGCTGACCTAGGTTTGATTCCTGCCAGCACACTCATTCCTCAAGCACAGCCAAAAGTGAACCCTGAGCACAAAGCCTGGAGCAAGCCCTGACCATAGCCAGATATGGCCCCCTCAAAAAAGAAAGTAAATGATATGAAATAGAACATAGCCATGAGTCTTTACAATACATAGTGAATTCTTTGTTAAAATGCTTTGAAAGTCAGTTTTGATTCTTAAACTGAATAATCACGGCAGAGCCTGGCAAGCTCCCCGTGACGTATTCGATATGCCAAACACAGTAACAACAAAGTCTCCAATGGAGACGTTACTGGGCCCGCTCGAGCAAATCGATGATCAATGGGAGGGCCTTTACTTTACTTACTTAAACTGAATAATATTTCTCCTCTCTCTCCTGCCCACTGTCTGCTATCAATAATAAAATCAGCAAAGCTTTGCATGTTAATATAAGCACAGCAAATAGCAAGGCTTCTTTATCATTTCTAAGGCTCGGAGAGCCCGGCAAGCTACCAAGAGTATTCGATATACCAAACACAGTAACAACAAAGTCTCCAACAGAGACGTTACTGGGCCCGCTCGAGCAAGGCTGTGCTAAATTAAGTACGTTTCTGCGTTCAATTGTCAAATCTGTCCTTGAACTTACCACTAACAAATCATGTGGGAACCTACATTTCTGCTGTCATTGAAACATTGTATTTTAGAACTTTAAGGTGATAAAGGTGTTCACTTGCCAAATCAGGCCACTATGACCTTAATACCCCCTTGCCATTGAAAAGGTGATCTAGTACCAAAAATTTATATAATGGATAACATAGAAAATGTAAAATACAAACTAAATTTAGACTAGAAAAGAAATAGAATTTTACTTTGGCTTGTGGATGCTTTTTTTTTTACACTTTGAATAAACACATATAAAAAATCATGTGAGTAATGACTACTGACTTTATCAGGCAATTTTGAGAGACAAAGCTCAGAATTATCATGCAGAAAACTAAAGCCCTTTCTCATGCTGGTAGTTCAAAAGCTGGTTTTTCCCTTTCTGCAGATACTGTGGTACACAGTGCTTCACCCTGAATATTGTCTTATTTTGTTGCTCTGGCTTCATATGGTTTTATTGCCATATTGTGTCTTCAGAGGAGCTTTCTAATCTTTACAAGGCTAGGCTTCAGTCTAAGCTTCTGAACACAATTCTTCACTTACGAACCCACTTTGCAAAGGAGACTCAGGATTTCTCCTGTTGCCAGTGGGTGGAATGAGGGGGGGTGGCGCTCGGTAACCTTAAGAACATCTGGTCAGAGGGCTGGCATCCACCCTAGGTCACTGGATAACAAGGCTCTATCTTGGTCCTCTGGCACCTTCAGAAGCAAAATCTCACACAGCAGCACACAGCTGCTCATCAAGGATGAGGATGGCAACGATAAAACTATAGGAGTCATGCATTTAAATTGCATCATGCATTTAAAGTATGAGTTTCAAGCTCCTTAGCTGAGTGTTTTACCTGAGTGTTGGGTAAATAGCAGATTCAGTTTTCTCTCATGATGTTGCTTCGAGCCTAGGGTTAGTGATGATCTCTACCCAGCAATGTTGAGGCACAACCGACAATAGTAGTAAGTTGTAGGAAAAAAGAAAACACGTGAGTGCGAGTGTGTGGCACACACACACACACACACACACACACACACACACACACACACACACACACACACTCCTTACTCCAAAGTAGGAAAACAAAAAAGAAATGGAACCATTCCCTAATTTTTCCCATTTTGAACCCTACCGTAGTTAGAGGGAAGATTCCAGGTCAGTGTTCTTACCCAAGAACAGGGCCAATGACGTAAAAGAGAACGACATCGAAGGGCAACAGCACGGAAGAAAATCTGTTTTGTGAATGATAGAGCACTTGATTCAGTTGAAGATCAAAGAGGAGCTGAACCAGAAATCAAGGCCTCATCATGGAACAAAGGACAAGGAAGTCAGGGGGATGAACAGGACTCAAATTGTGATGAAATGAAATTTGATGTGTGGAAACCTATTGGTGTAGGGGGCGTTTGGCTACTCCTGCATCGTGACCCCTGAGATGCTGATAGCAACTGCCAGCCAGAACAGGGAGCATAGACACTTGGTACTGCTCTGGGAAACCTGACTGTCCAGAACAGATCACTCCACAGAGGAGTTTGCCTAGAGTTTGGCAGAGCCTGAACTTGGCCTCACAATTCTACATGTCCTTAAAATTTTAAATCATACATATTTATTTAGCAATAATCAGGAAATCAGAGGACTCAAGGAATTTTGTCATTGGAGGGACCTAGAGTCCAGGGTTGTGAAATCCCCCTGCTAACTGTACACAGCTGCTTAAGGGGAATCTCCAGTTAGGCTCAGCTGGATGGGGGGCAAAGGGGACTTCCCTGCCTGTCAGGCCTGCTGGAAGGGGGCTGAAACCCATCTGGGCAACAGGAGAGATGATCCAGGTGTGGCCTTAGTGCCTGGGAAGCACCCAGGAAAGCAGGTAGATTCTTTTTCAAGGAAGACTCAGGAAGGATTTACACTTTCTATTGCCCCAGTACGCCCTGGGATGGGGGTGGGTGGAGATGGTGGGTGGGGGTGAGCCCCAACGAAGTACAATGAAGAGAGGCAGCTCAGAGAGTTACTGACAAAGTTATAAAGCCACACGGTGGGGGACAGGGTTTTGTTTTGGCCTCCCCTGCCCTTACCCTTTCTTTCCAGAAAGATTCTGGATTCCGCAGTGATCCCAGAAGAACATGAGTCCCCTCATTCCCCACTCCCCAGCCTTACCCAACACACACACTCACACACACACACACACACACACACACACACACACACACACACACTTACACACACTCAGTGGGGAGAAGGGAGGCCCTGGAGATCCAGAGGTGGATTTACAGGCCTGGAGCAAACAGCAGCTCAGCCGCCCAAGGTCGGGAGATTCTTCGGAAGGCCGCGCAGGGCGGTGGGGGGATCACACAAGACTGCCTGGCGGCGACGATCAATGGGGAATTCGGGCGCTGGGGCGAGAGGTCCTGCTCAAATCTGGCAGCAGAGGGTCTCTAAAAACCCTCCTCAGCCGCAGACAGGTGTGCCCGCCCCGAGGTGGTGGGCTCGGAGCGCGGAGCCGCCCCCCCCCCCCCCCGACCCCTTCAAAGGGCACGTGGGTGCACCGCGGGGACGAGTGTGGGGGCCAGGTGGCTGGTGGGCGGGATCCGGGCAGAGGGACCCGAGCAGTGCTGAGGTGTCTGCGGAGGTTGGGGACACTGTTCTATGTCACCCCAGAAGTAGCACAACTTTTAAAGGGACGAATAACGGAGCGAACCCGGGGTCCCACTTTTCTAAGCGCAAAGTTAGCAGCAAGCCTCGGAGGGGAGCCAAAAAGTTGGACTCGGCGACTGCCCGTTTCTGCAGATTTGCTGCTCGCGCTCTCCCACAAAGTGCAGTTCCCCCAGCAATGCCATTTCGAGGTGCACAAGGCAAACCAGCCCCGCGGCGCTCCCTCCCCGCCCCAGCCGCCTCACCTGCTCAGGGCAAGTGTCCGGGACGCCCGTTTCCAGCGCCCCCCGCCCCCTCAACTCCCCACCTCCCTGAGCAGACCCTGGCCACTCGTGCCCCCAGAACCCCCAAGCCCCAGCCCGGACACTCACCCAGCCCGGGGCGCCGAGCTCACGTCGGCCGGGGAGGGTGAGCGGCTCTGGTCCGCGGGTCGGCGGGGGCTGCACCCCGCGCCTGGCAGAGCTCCGAGCCGGCCCGAGTGCCAGTCGCTGCAACCGGCCGCAAGCGGGGCGCTCGCAATTTATAGCGGGGGCGTTGCTGCGCCCAGGCGTCCAGGGGCGAGGCTGTTTTGCATTTCCTCCTCCTCCTCCTCCTCAGCTCCGCCCCGGGAGACCCTCACGGGCCCAGCCCTCTCTCCCCCCGCGGATGCTGCGGACGCCTGAGGATGCTGCGGTCCAGCAGGGTCCCCGCGCATCCGCACTCAGCGGGACCCGGAATCGGGAGGGGTCGCCGGGGCAGGGGGCAGTCCCCGTGCCCCGCGCGCGCAGCCCGGCACGTCCTCCCACCGGTCGTTGTTGGGGTGGTGGTTGTTTAAACTTAGAAAACTTTCTGAGCACAGATAAGGCAACTTCGCTCTCTTTCCGGCGGTGAATCCAGCCGGGACGGCGTCTGCTGCCAGAGGGAGAAGTGAGGCGCGCGTGTCCCGCCGCGCATCGCCGGGCTGCTGTTTGTTGGACGTTGTCTCCACTGGACTTTGTGTATTGTTTGTTTTTGCTGTCGGGCCACACCCGGCGTGCTCAGGGCTTCCTGCTGGCGCCGTGCTCAGGGATCACTCCAGACTGGGCTCCAGGGACCTTATGTGATGCTGGGGATCAGCCCAGCTCTGCCACGTGCAAGGCAAGCGCTTAACCCGCTGTCCTATTTCTCCAGCCACCCAGCTCCTCCACTCCCCAGGAACGCACTTTAGACTTGTAAAAGGGGCAGGAGAGTTCGTTGAAGGGGCTGGGCAGTGGACTTTGCATGCATGAGGACCTGGGCACGAATACTAACACCCCCCCCCCCCCCAAACAAAACAAAAAGTATGAAAATAGGAAAAGTTCAAAAAACAAAATATGACTTGGTGTTTGAAGAATGGTATATAAGTTTTTACAAGCGATTGCAAAACACAGAATAGGAAGAATCACTTTCAAACCCATGGTGGGAGGCCAGTAATACCCCATCACCAAGTCCAGATAAAACAGGAGGAGGAAAGGAAACGGCCAATAACCCTTAGGAATATAGACCCTTAAAGCAGCTACGAAAATTTAGGGAGTCAAATCCAGAAAATCTGAAAAGGTGACTACAAAAGTATAATTAAGTGATATTTCCTCCCAGGAATACAGTTAAAGAAAATCAATATAGATAGACTATCAAAGGACTAAAGCCCCCTCCCCCAAAGTGATTTTAATAAATCAGAAAAAGCATTTGACAAACTCCAACACATTTCATGGTGAAAAACATTCTGTAAACTTCCACAAACAATTAAGTCTGAAAAAGTCACAGAAGTTATATTTAAACGATAGGTGTTTTGTGGCTAGGGTTAGGAATAAAATGAACAGAATATTGATCACTCAGTTATCCAACACATCCAACCTAGTGCTTCAAACTAAGGCAACTGGGCAAGAAAAAAAAGTAATAAAAAGAAATCCAAATTAGAAAGGAAGTAAAAATATTCCTGTATACAGATGACATTGTCTTGCATCAAAACTTTTCTAAGAAATAAATTGCACAATTAGAGTATTAGAACTGACAGAAATCCAGTAAGGTTATAAGATATATTATCCAAAACAAATTGTATTTTTAGTCCATCAATAAATAATACAAAAATTAAATGAAGGGAAAGTTCATTTACCACAGTCAAAAGAATAAAATACTTAGGAATAAATTCAACAAAAAGGATACAAATTGTATGCTCTGAAAAAAGTAGAACATTTTACTATATAAAGTAGGAGAATAGTAAAAAAATTAGATGTAAATAATAGCAATGGCACCCATGTTTATAAATTAGAATATTTAATCGTATCATAGTGGAAGTAATGTAAAAATTTTAAATTATTTATTTTTAAATTATTCATTAAACATGATCCCTAGAAGAATCCCAACAAGATTTTTTTCGGTATAATTAACAAAGTGATCCTAAAACTTCGATGAAAATGTAAAGACCCCAGAAGGGCCATAACAATCCAGAAAAAAAAATGAAGTTGGAAGACTCCTAATAGAAAACTTGAGAATTTACTAAAAATTATGAAATAACCAATACAGTGTTATTGGCATAAAAAGATAGGTCTATCAACAAAACAGTCGAGTCCAGAAATTGAAACAACACATTACAGTCATTGTCTTTTGCTAATGATAACAAGACAATTCAGCAGTGAATGAATAGTCATCCCAACAATGGTACTGGAATAACAGGATGTCCACATGCAAAAGAATGAAGCTGAGCCCCTTTTAATATGTGAGCAAAACAGAGTTCAAATGGGTCATGAACCTAAACATACAAGATGAAGTTCGGAGGCAATAAAAAATAGGGCTAGCTCTTTGTGATCTTGGGTTATACAAGGTTTATAACTCTGCCCTCTTAATTTGACATGAAAACTTAAACTCAAGAAATGCAGATAATTAGATTTAACCCACATTTTAAACTATGTTTCAAAATACCAGCAGAGTTATACAACTCAAAACATCAAAAATAAATACTTAAAATCCTGTATCAAAGAAACACTTACCCTTAGAATATAGAATCTTCCCCAATTGGTAATAAAAACACAAGAACCCCAATTTAAAAGAATACAAAATATTTCTCCAGAGAAGAAGTACAAGTAATCAGAGAGAATATGAACAGATGTGCAACACTTTTACTTATCAGGGAAGTGACACTGAGAGGCACAAGGCATGCTTCATGTTTTTCAGGACATCTATAAGAAAAAGTCACAGGATGACAAGTGTTGACAAGGATATGGAGAAACTGATCACTGGTGCATTGGTGGTGGCATTGCCAAATGGTGCAGGCTTTGTGGAAGGCATGTTGGCAGTTCCTTAAAATGCTTAGAATTACCAGAGACTCACTTCAAAAAATTCTCACAAAGTTAAAGAAACCAATTTTATACAACAACTTTATACAACTTCATCAAATATCTACCAAACATGGGCATTTTTTAAATTTTATTTTGTTTTCAGACCACACCAAGCTGTGCTCAGGGTTTACTCCTGGCAGGGCTCAGGGGACCACATAGAATGCTGGGGATTGAATCCAGTTGCCTACGTGCACGGCTAGTACCCTCCTGGGTGTACTATCTCTCCAGTCCCAAGCAGAGGTTTTTATAGGAAGATTTTATGAGAATGCCAAGCTGAAGGACATGATTCTGGAGTCCAAGATGTGCTGACAAAGACGGGAGATGATGTCCATCCTCTTTTCCCTATGTCCCTGGGGCAGGACCCTGTCGTGGTGACTAACACATGGTCAGCGTCTTGTAAATCCAAGCAAATCCTCCTGGTGGGTCTAATTTGACTCCATTCTAACAATATGTCTTGGAAGAAATGGTACTGGAGATGGTCTTGGAAGAAAAATCGGATATTTTGGACTTAGGACCAATCAAGCAAAGATCTTTGGGGTAAAGACTTGTGTAATATCATGGTGAATTAATGGAAGAGCTGGAATCAGATTCTTAATCTTATTCTTGTCTAAATTATTTTTTCCTTTTATCAATTAGGAGTAAAACGACTTATTGGAAAATTCTTCAGTCATTTGCTGGGAATTCTTGTATTTGCTGGCGAGCCCACAAGATTGGCCATTTTGATTTATGACTTACATGTTCATAATAAGCACATAAGGACTTGAGACAAAGAGCAAATGAATTGTAAAGCAATTATCTTTTTTAAAAGTTCTAAGTTATTGAAAGTAAAAGATTTTTTGAAAAGTTATAGTTGCTATATTAAGGGTATATTAAGGAAGCCTAAGATATCAGCAGTCACCAAACTATCACCAAACTACCAAGTACATGAGAGGTCATAGGAAAACTCTTATGCAGATGAGGCATATAAAAGCTCATAAAAATAATTTTGTATTATGAAATTAAGAGATACTTCTTAATTTTATATTACTTTACATTATTACAGGGTTTCTAGGCATAATTTGAAAAAATCAGAGTAATATTCTTGATACCTTGTAATGTAGCCCAAGAGGCATTAAAACCATGTTACCAAATAGCTTTAAAAAAAAATACTATCTGCAGGGGATATGGTGCCGCCAGCAGGTCAATCTGTACCTGTGAGGCGAGTGCATCAGCAGCCTGATGGCGCCTTCACACTTCCAGATACCCCAAAATTGCTGCTGTGTCTTTGGCCAGACCCCAAAAACTTGAGGCAAAGTTTGCCAAGAAAGTAAACGGCCAAAAGTTAGGCATGTGGGAGACATACCCACAAACCACCTCTGGCTCAGCTATATAATTGGAGGCATGACCTCTTTGGTTCCTGATTGAACTGCTTAATGGCCATGATCCCAGAGACTCAGAAACAAATCTCGAAACCTGGCGGCTTTTGGTGGAAAAGCGTCCTGTCCCCGCTGTAGGTTACCAGCACCGGGCCACACCAGGTGGCAATAGGTTTTGTGCCTTGGCCTGTTCCCCCTGGCGGCCCAGTGGCCGTCATCCTCCAGAGGCCACTGGACAGTCAGGTTTGGGCCCACAGTGACGAGACACATGGGGCCTCACAGGATGGGGGTGGAGTCGGCCCTTTTCTCTCCACCCCAATTAGACCTGAGTCACCCCCCATGAACGGCCTTTCTGGCTCCTGATCAAGCTGTTTAACGGCCATGATCCCAGAGACTCAGGACCAAATCTCGGAACCCAGAAGGTTTTGACAGAAATCCCTCCAGATTTAAGTGTTAAAATTTCAGAATTCAGATTGTGTGACCACTACTGCAGCCATGCGACATCATGTGTTATTCATAACCAGCAATAGAAAACAAATTGTCTACTGTTGCCTTTTCAGCAGAGCTGAGTGTTGGGGTAAAATCTCAAATAATAATGATGGGTCTGGTGTCAAAATATTGACTGTGATCAAAGTAGAGAGAGAGTAATGTGGAAATCATCTGCCCCACAGGTAGGGGGAGGGCGTGGGATTGGGGTATACTGGGGTTTTTGGTGGTGGAGAATGGGCACTGGTGAAAGTACGGGTGTTTCATTGTATGACCAAGATTTAAACCCGAAAGCTTTGTAACTGCTCTCAC